CTCAAAACCTACTTGTCCTGGATTGGTCAACATTTAATACCCTTAAGGGAGTCAATCAGATTATTTCCCAAGGTCCTTTCCAGCTCTAGAACTCAGAGAGTTAGAACCAATAAATAACTTTATTAGGAAAAGAAATAAAGTTAGCAGTTGTACTTGGGAGCATGTTTTATATGAGCTTTCAACTTTCATCAAAAGTGCTCTTATTTAAGTGATAAAGCAAATAAGGTAAAATGTTAAAAATAGGTGAATCTGAGTAAACAGTATACAGGTGGTTCCCTGTACTATTTCTATTTTTGCAGCTTTATTCAATTACTATGAAATAGTCATCATTTAGGTTTAAAATATTAGGAGTTGACTAATTGACTGTTACTGCTTATCTTACTAGTTTTTGTGGGAAAGTCTATAACTTGCTTATGTGTCACTTCATAGGGCCTGCCCTCCCTCCTCTGCCGTAATTAACACAAGTTCACTCATAAATAGTGCTTGGCCTTCTGGTATCTACAGTGTTCTCGTCAATCCCAATGTTTACTTCCTCTCAATTTTGCAAATAAACTTCAATATTTGTTTTTTATTCACATGTCTTTTTAGTTTGTTTTTTAATTACAGAATAATTGCTTTACAATGTTGTGTTGGTTTATGCCATATAACAATGCGAATCAAAATTGTGTGTGTGTGTGTGTGTGTGTGTGTGTGCGTGCACGCGCGCACATGTGTATCTGGAGAAGAGAACGGCAATCCACTCGTTTTCTGGCCTGGAGAATTCCATGGACTGTATAGTCCATGGGGTCGCATAGAGTCAAACACTACCGAGTGACTTTCACACATACACACACATACATATATATCGTCTCCCTCTTGTCTTGCCTGGAGAATCCCATGGACTAGCGGAGCCTGGTGGGCTACAGTCCATGGGATCGCAAAGAGTTGGACAGGACTAAGCAACTGACACTTCTTGAACCTTCAACCCTTCCCTTAAACCTCTCCAACACTCCTAATTGCCATATACACTTTGACTTCCCAGCCTCTGCCAGGTCATTCTCACAGAGGTGGGAGAGATGGGAGGGATTTTTTTTTCCCTGCCCGCTACAGGCAATGAGGGAGCACACTGTCTGCAGGGTATTTTAAAACAATAATAAATGCAACCAAAAGTCTTTCTGCTTCTTATCATCACCAGGCACTGGCAATATGAAACAACCTTAATGTTTAGACACTCCTTCTAACCACTGCAGACAGCTTCAAACATTACCCTTAACATGTCACCAGTAATAATAGTCAGCCTCTTCAACCTCTGCCCAAATCTTTTATTCAATAGTTTTTCTTTACCTTGGGATCTCAAAATAAACACAAAAACTAATAATAAGAACAACAAATACTAAAAGCAATCAGTGTACTTTCCAAAATATTTGTAACTGTGAGGCATATCATTATCACTTTAATAGAAAAGCTCATATAAAATCTAATGCAATGCCTCTCTCAAGCAGAACTAAGTAGAGTCTCTATATATCACCTCAATCAATTATGATTTAGCATTAAAACTATTTTTCAAACAACAATAATGTAAACAAGTGGTTCACAGCCATAACCTAATGCCTGGAGGCTGGAAAATTTGCCAAGATTTATGGACTCAGACGCAGCAGAATGAACAAGGCTCTACTAACATAACTGCAGTCCTTCTGGCCACTCTGTTTCCCTTACATCATATGGAGGGCCATGTCATCTTAGTCACTATGAAAAAAAAGGTCTAACTCAGCGAAAGAAAAAGGACAGAAAGAGATTTTAAAAGGAGTCGACTATGCCTCAGTTAATCTTGCCAAGGGCCTGCATCAAAGGCAATGCACAGCTGGATGGTAAAATCAGCAGATCAACACTCTGCTTGGTATCTCCCTGTTCAAAGCGGTACTCCTCAGCTCTAACAAATCCTCTTGACTCCATCAAAAGGCAGGGAATGGCTGCCAACTAGGGTATGCAGATAACTGAGAATGGACGACATAATCATAAAATTGATAACCAGAGAGTTCTTGTTGTTGTTGAGTCACTAAGTCATGTCCAACTCTTTGCAACCCCATGCTGTAGCCCTCCAGGCTCTTCTGTTGATGGGATTTCCCGAGCAAGAACACTGGAGTGGGTTGCCATTTCCTTCTGCAGGGGATCTTACCCACTCAGGGATCGAACCCACATCTTCTGCATTGGCAGACAGGTTCTTTAGCACTGAGCCACCAAGAAAGCCCAATCAGCGTACAGAATCAAAAAACTCAATATAACAAGCTACTTCACGTATTACAAACTGGTGATTAAAAAGAAACATGCTAGCATGTGTATGTCAAGGGGGTTTTGATTATAACTGTTTTAACAGTTCTTCAAATGCACAGATACATGTTTCAGTGTAGCAAAAATAAAAAATAGTAAATTCATAAGAATAACGAGTAATTTGCCACACTCTGATTTTTTTAAAAATGCCATTACTGGTTAAACTATAAAATACATCTAAATCCTACAAAATAATACTTAGAATTTATCTAGAGAAGGCTAAAAAATTTACTCAACATTAGAACAAGAGATAAAAATTCCAAAGATAATCCAGAACACAAAGCAATCAAATTTCAAACATACTATTCAGACACATAACTAGAAACTTGCTACAGAAGGCAGGACTATTGTGTTTCAAAAGTGAGCACTTCCTCTCCTATGAACTAATGTCTAAGAACCTACAGGCTTTCTCCTAAAAGCAAGGGAAAGGGGGAAAGAACACATTTTCAAATCAACAATATATGGAAAAATCAGAAAAGGCCTTTTCAGAAAAACAGTATTGTCTAAAGAAATAAGATTGAATTAAAACATACAGAAATCTACCTGACAGTTAATTCAATAGCTTTAAGGATCAGTATCATCTTTTCACTTTCTAATTTGAAAAATTATTCAATTTCCTTTCATGTTACAGCATTGTTTACGTAATGCTTTCCACTTGAAAGTTTCAGGTTTGCCCCTAAACACACGAAGTTATAACAATCTTGCTGCTGCTGCTAAAGTCGCTTCAGTCGTGTCCAACTCTGTGCGACCCCATAGACAGCAGTCCACCAGGCTCCTCCATCCCTGGGATTCTCCTGGCAAGAACACTGGAGTGGGTTGCCATTTCCTTCTCCAATGCCTGAAAGTGAAAAGTGAAAGTGAAGTCGCTCAGTCGTCCGACTCTTCACGACCCATGGACTGCGGCCTATCAGGTTCCTCCGTCCATGGGATTTTCCAGGCAGAGTACTGGAGTGGGGTGCCCTTGAGTTCTCCAAGGACAATCTTACACAAGCATAAATTTTCAAGGCCATCAAGAGTTTAGCTTAATAATACTATGTTGTACACTTCAAATTTATTAAAAGAGTACATCTTAAGTGTTCTTACCACAAAATGAAAGAGAGAAATAAGTAACTATGTGACATGATGGTTTGTTAATTAGTTTGACTGTGATAATCATTTTGCAATATACGTGCACATTAAGTTATCACGTTGTACACCTCAAGCATATGCAATTTTGATTTGTCAATTACGCCTCATTAAAGCTGAGGAAAAGAGTTTACAAACTAGCAAGACACCAAGCCATCAATAAACATAAACTGTTCAAGTTTACTTGAATTAATGCAAGTAAAACCACTAAATCAGATTTAAAAGATCTACAAACCAATACTGTAGTTTAAAAATTTTTTTTTAATCTTAACATCTGAAATATAAACTGCTTGAAACAAGCAAAAGACTCAATCATCAGATATCACCCTCCACTAAGGACAACGCTCTCCCTAGGTACCTTGCCCAGTTTGTGACAAAAATACAAAATTTGCCATTACCTAAAGCTAAAACAGTCTTTGTAAGTACACAGAAGTGAGACACTATAATGATGTAGATTAGGAAGTACATAAGAAGTGTAGTCAATAAAACATAAATAAAATGCAGCAATAACTAAAATTAATAATTACCACCTCTGGTAATGATAAAAGCAAGCCCACACACTACACAATCTCCAATAAAGAAAACTAAATAAGCTAATGTGTATATAACAACAGACCTTGGGTTATCAATACTTTTAAAAAATCTACCCATGGAAAATACATGTTTTCCTTGTAGCAGAAATAAAAAGTAACAGTAAATCCATGGGAATTGCTACTCAAAAACTAAACACAACAGGATAACTTTTAGCAAAAATACAGGATAACTTTTAGCAAAAATACATTACAAAGTTATGCAGAGAAACAATGAACAGTAACTGACAACGTGACTGCACTGGCTTCCCATGTAATTATCACTGTAATTATCACTAAACGCATTCAGAAGCTGACTGCATGATAAAGGAAATAAGACAACCTAAACTCTGCAAGGTAGGAAAGATTCCAAAAGGAAAACTTTGGCTGGCGTGCTGGTATGAGGATAACTTTAAAGCACAATCTATCTGACAAAGAAATGCAACGTAAGTTGAACCTGGGTGCGGAAGAGTTCAAGTTTTCCCTGGAAATGTGAATTCTTCCCCGAAATTCACAAGGGTTTAAAAAAAAAAAAAAAAAGCCGCATCAGTAAACCAGCATTAATTGCAAATGAGGCAACAGCAGTTCAGTATCCAATAGGCGGTCTGCTCATCTTTCTGATCCGTTAGGTCAAGAGTCCTTCTCACCTATGACCCTCAGAGAAGGGCTGACTCCTTGCTCTCAAGCCTCCTCAGCAAGCCAACCTTTGCCAACTCATGCCACCCTCACAGACGGTCTGCCAAGTCCCGGGACACTCCCCCAAGGGGGACAGTCTTCCTCCGAGACGCCTCCAGCCCAGTGTCACCCGCCACTCCCCCTCCCCTTCTCAGGGCCTCTCCGGCCTCAGGGTCCCGAGTGCCTTCCTCCCCAGACCCTCACCGCTGCCCTCAGAGCTCCCCGCCCCCGGCCCCCGACCCCCAATTCTAGACCCCTCGCTCAAACCTGGGGTCACCGTTCTCTCTCTGCCCGCGCGGGGAGTCCCGATTCTCCCGTCCCTACCCGGTCTCCGCGTCCCGCGACGCGGGGCGGCGGCGAAGGCGCCGAGAAGCATCCACTGAGGAGACAAGTGCCTGGGGACTCTCCGGCTCCGATCTGGACCGGAGCCGGGCTTCCGCCTCGCGCCGGAAGGCATTCGCGAGCGAGAGCGGAAGTCCCGCCCCACCCGCTCCCCGCCGGCCGGCGGGCAAAGACCGCACCGTGGGGTCTAGCCAGGCCGTCAGGAGGATTCGCTGGGGTTAACAGGGGTCGTAGGCACCCAGCCGAGAGAAAAAAGGCTTACCGTGAAAGGCCAAGGCGCCAAAAGTCTTTCTCCTTGCAGCTTCTCTTTACAGCCGATGAGCCAACGCACCTGCAATCACTTGACCAAGGGGATCTGCTGACGCCCCCAGAGGATCAAGATGACTCAGACCCTGACCCCTGACCCCACAATCTAGTTGAAAATTGACATAAATATAAACAGAGATGAATAATACCACAAGGCAGCACTGATTCATTCCTTAATCCAGATGTTTATCACCTGCTATATATCACTTATTGAACAACTAGGCTGTAAACAGATGCAAGCCCCTATCTTATGAAGTGAGGGAGGCACTCAGGGCAATGAACTAGGCAGAGAGTAAATCAAACAGCGACCCATCCCTCGGGAAACTTAGGGTAGTATAGGGACAGATATATGGGCAAATAAGTGCAATGAAACCATCGAGCATTAGAGGAACTATGGCCGAGCTGAAGGCAATGGTGGCGGTAGGAAGGTGAGCAGACACAAGACTCTATAGAAATACTGGCTCCTCAGTGAGTCTGAAATGAATGATGAGTAAGAGTTAAAGGTCAAACAAGGTAGGGAAGGGCATGCAGAAGAGAAGGATGCCAGAGAGAGCTTGGTTTAATTAGGGATCTGGAGGAGGGTACAGCTAATTTAGCAAGGCGGGAGGAAGCACAATAAGAGGAGCGAAGCTCAGATCTGGAAGACTGCTTTGTATTATACTAAGGAATTTAGACTTTAGACTCCAGGCAACAGGGAGTCAGTGCATTATCTGTAGGGGAACAGACTAAACACTGAGTCATGGGTTGATTAGGATGATTGACCTACTCATCAAAGGAAAATAACTTGAAAGATCATGGATAGAACATTGTACCTGTGAGGGTGTTTTCTCAAGCTGTCATCAGTTCAGTCACTCAGTCGCGTCCAACTATTTGTGACCCCATAGACTACCGCAGACCAGGCTTCCCTGTCCATCACCATCTCCTGGAGTTTACTTAAACTCATGTCCATAGAGTCTGTGATGCCATCCAACTATCTCATTCTCCATCGCCCCTTCTCATCCTGCCTTCAGTCCTTCCCAGCATCAGGTGGTCAGTTTTCTGATGAGTCAGTTCTTCACATCAGGTAGCCAAAGTAATGGAGCTTCAGCTTCAGCATCAGTCCTTCCAATGAATATTCAGGACAGATTTCCTTTAGGGTTGACTGGTTTGATCTCCTTGCAGTCCAAGGGATTCTCAAGAGTCTTCTCCAACACCACAGTGCAAAAGCATCAATTTAAACTGTTATACCCAGATGTAAAAACGATGGATGACTACAACAACTCTACACAGGCAAGGCCACCAGAGCTCAGACCCCAGAGTTGTCTACTGGGCAAATCACCCCAACCAACTGAGTGGCCAGGTGAAGCTGTGGCAACCGTGGGATGAAGGGGATGAGAAGGAAGAAAATTCATTACCAGCTGCAGTAACGAGGACTGTTGCCTCTATTCTCTTACTTGCTACTGTTTAATCAGTACCCTCTTGCACACTAAACCCCATTTTTCCTTTTTAGAAATAAATGGTATAGCAGTTTTTTCTAATTCTTTTCCTTTTTCCAACAATAAACTATGTTGCAATATATGGAGATAGAATTAGGTAATATAAAAGGAAGACTGGACATCTTGTAGAACATCTGTACTTAGAAGGCATAGTATCACCTCTGAATGGAGTAGAAAGACACAGATTTGAGCTTAAAACTCAACATTCAGAAAACTAAGATCATGTCATCTGGTCCCATCACTTCATGGCAAATATTTGGGGAAACAATGGAAACAGTGACAGACTTTATTTTCTTGGGCTCCAAAATCACTGCAGATGGTGACTGCAGCCATGAAATTAAAAGACACTTGCTTCTTGGAAGAAAAGCTATGACCAACCTAGACAGCATATTAAAAAGCAGAGACATTACTTTGCTAACAAAGGTCTGTCTAGTCAAAGCTATGGTTTTTCCAGTAGTCATGTATGGATGTGAGAGTTGGACTATTAAGACAGCTGAGAACTGAAGAATTGATGCTTTTGAACTGTGGTGTTAGAGAAGACTCTTGAGAGTCCCTTGGACTGCAAGGAGATCCAACCAGTCTATCCTAAAGGAAATCAGTCCCAAATATGCATTGGACTCCAGTTTCATCCATCTCATTAGAACTGATTCAAATGAATTCTTTTTAATGGCTGAGTAATATTCCATGGTGTATATATACCACAGCTTCCTTATCCATTCGTCCGTCTACTGACAGAACAGACTTTTGGACTCTGTAGGAGAAGGCGAGGGTGGGATGTTTCGAGAGAACAGCATCGAAACATGTATATTATCTATGGTGAAACAGATCACCAGCCCAGGTTGGATGCATGAGACAAGTGCACGGGCCTGATGCACTGGAAGACCCAGAGGAATCGGGTGGAGAGGGAGGTGGGAGGGGGGGATCGGGATGGGGAATACATGTAACTCCATCGCTGATTCATGTCAATGTATGACAAAACCCACTACAATATTGTAAAGTAATTAGCCTCCAACTAATAAAAATAAATGAAAAAAAATTCATTGGAAGGACTGATGCTGAAGCTGAAACTCCAATACTTTGGCCACCTGATGTGAAGAGCTGACTCACTGGAAAAGACCCTGATGCTGGGAAAGACTGAAGGTGGAAGGAGAAGGGGTCGACAGAGGATGAGATGATTGGATGGCATCACCAACTCGATGGACATGAGTTTGAGTAAGCTCCGATAGTTGGTGATGGACAGGGAAACCTGGTGTGCTGTGGTCCATGGGGTTGCAAAGAGTCAGACAGGGCTGAGCAACTGAACTGAACTGAACTGAGGGAACAGAGAGAAGATAGCCATTAAAGCTGAGTCCCGTGGCAGTGCCCTAAAGGAAAGATCTATTAACACCCCTTACCAAGGACCCAGGACCTGACCTGTTTTCTTTGATTATAGGAAATATCCCTGTGTACTTCTGAAACATTTTTTTTGTTTTGCTTGACTAGGCAAGAAAGATTTCTGCTATTTGCAACCAAAGTAATTTTGTTTAAGACACTCTACTCCCAGAGTTCCTGTTGAATAGGCGCTGAGTCAAATGATCCACATTCATTGCCACAGCAAACTGAAATGGATGTAGCATGTGTTCAGTCGTGTCCAACTTTTTGCGACTCTATAGACTGTAACCCGCCAGGCTCATCTGTCCATAGGATTTTCCAAGCAGGAATATTGGATTGAATTGTCATTTCCTCCTTCAGGGGATCTTTCTGACCCAGGGATCAAACTTGCTTCGCTTGTGTCTCCTGCATGGCAGGCAGATTCTTTACCACTGAGCTACCTAGAAAGCTGAAGTGGATGTAGACACAACCCAAATAGGCTAAGAAGGTCTCTCATGCATGGATTTAAGCATTGACACATAGCCCTCCACTTGGTCTCCCTTTCATGTTGAAATAGAAATGTGACGTAAACCCAGGATTGGGGTAGGCATGAGCAAGGTGTCCCACGCTTATAGAAAAAAAATGAGTAGGAGAACCAGAGGGAAGAGGAGAGAGAAATGATAAGGAAGAGAGAAAGATGGGGAAAGAGAAGACATAATTATCTGAGAAATAATTAGGTCATCTTGGTTTCTATCTTTTCAGTTTTTTAATCCAAACCCTATGAGGTCCAGCTAAACTTTCTGTCCTTAAATTCTAAGGAAATTCTGTGTCCTTCCAGTAAAGTTCCCATTTGACTTGAGTTACTGTTAGTAGGTTTTTATTCCTAGCAATGAAAATACCAAGACATCAGTCCACAAGACACAAGGCTCTCTGTTCACTCTCTTTTCTGCATCACTGCCTTCTCCCCAGAACTTTGGAGTCAGCTTCTAGCCCCAGGCCCAATAGCAGGAGCAAGATTTTCACACCCCCACTGCTGCCTACAGGAAAACTGTCAGAGTTACCATGGTGTTGATGGGTGGAGCAAATCATACCACCATCAATATGTAAATATGGAGGAAGATTTTGGAAATCCACACTTCTTTTTTTGAACTTTTTATTTTGTATTGTAGTATAGCCAGTTAACAGTGTTGTGATAGTGTCAGGTGGATAGCGAAGGGACTCAGCCATACATATACATGTATCCATTCTCCCCCAAACTCCCCTGCCATCCAGGCTGCCACAAGGTATTAAGCAGAGTTCCATGTGCGATATAGGTTCTTGTTGGTATTTTAAATATAGCAGTGAGTGCATGAGCATCCCAAACTCCCTAACTGTCCCCTCCTCCCAACAACCATAAGTTCGTTTTCTAAGTCTATGAGTCTTTCTGTAGAAACCAATGTTTCAAATTCTTCATTATACAGAGGTGGGAGCGAAAGTCCAGCTAAACATAGCAGTTTCTCTAAGGTTGAATAGTTCAATAGTCCCAGAGATAGGACTAGTTCAAAAAGCTCTCTCCCAGTCCACTTACCTGATTATTTGGTGTCGAAAGAGTCTAATACTCTCAAAAGGCTATTGTGAAAACCTTAAAAGTGTACTATAGGGATTTCTCCGGTGGTCCAGTGGCTAAGACTCTGTACTTCCAAAGCAGGGGGTCCAGGTTGGATCCCTGGTAAGGGAACTAGATCCCTTCTGCCACAACTAAGATCTGGTGCAGCCAAAATAATTAAATATACTTTTTAAAAAGTACACTACTATCCAGTCTCCTCTCTCCTGGCCTCTAGAGTTCACTCGTATCTATATAATGGCATCAGTCTGACTGCAGAACCGGGACAACTGTTTAGAAGATACTTGTGAGTGTCAGCAGGTGATAGATAGTTCCTCTGAACCAGGAAAGAACATCTTAAGGAATGTTTTCCTACTTTTTTTTTTTCAGTACTCTCTGACT